ATAGCGATTTGTGATCGCGGGCCATTGAGGTAGACTCCATCTCCTCAGCAACCCGCGACCACCACCCATCCTTGCAGCGCCTCACGGCTGTCCGAACCTCCAAGCGAAAGCTCCGGTAAGCCTCCTCATTCTCTGACGTGGGATGCTGTAGACGATGAGAGTGGGTCTGTCGCTTTTTCTCAGCCAGCCTTAACACCTCCTCTGTCAGCCAGGGTCTCTGGGGAGGTTTAGACCATGTTCCCAAAGCAGCCATTGCAGCTGCATGAGCCATAGTCCTAAACCTCGCCCATTTCCCCTCGACATCTGGAGGAGTGGGGGATGATGCCAACCCCAGCCGCAAGCGTTGATGAAATTCTCGCTTGCAACTTTCATCAGCTAGCTTAGACCATGCCACTTTGGGGTTGAATGGGGTCCTGGGTGTACACCTACCACCGGAGTGGAAGAATGGCAGGTGCATCTTACAGATGACAAGTCGATGGTCAGTGGGTAGATCAGCTCCATGGTAGGTCCTGGTGTCGAGGACATGGGCCTGCATCCGCTGTTCCGTCACTATGTAGTCCAGCAGATGTTCTTGCTTGGACCCGGCATTCATCCATGATGTTGTGTGTATGAGCCGATGCCGGAACAGCGTGTTGGTAATTACAAGCCTATGGGCTGCACAAAAATATAGCAGCCTCCTACCGTTGTTATTGAGCTGATCTGGCCAATGCCTTCCAATCACTCCAGACTAGGTGCCAGCATCATGACCAACTCGGGCATTGAAGTCGCCCAACAAGATGACTCTATCCGAGGGGCCACTTTAGCTAGCGCCTGTGACAGGAGGTCATAGAAGGCATCTGACTCATCGGCCTTGCCTGCATCCCTCCACGGATGTTCGTCTTTGGTGGGAGCATAAGTAACCACGACCACCACTCCTCGCCTCAGGTAGATGGGAAGGCGAGCTCAAAGTAGCCTGGGGCTTACAGCTTCCCACACCGCACTGCCACGCTCCCACGCCCCCTTCATTCTTTTGATCAGAAGAAGAGCCACTCCCTGTTGTTTGTCAGTCTCCTTCCCCGAGTAGAGGGCTATCCACCCCTCATGGTGGCAGGAGACAGAGCCGGACCTCCTGAATACAAGAGATCCAGGCGGTACCGGTCCAGCTCACGACAGAGCATTGGCAGCCTCTCCTCCGCAGCGAGTATTCGAACATTCCACGTGGCCACCCGCAGTGGTTTTTTATTGTTTCTGGAGGAGCCCCGAGGGTAAGGATTCAGTCTCCTAGCTCCGCCAAAAGGGGTTTGGCCAGGAGACGTCATAGACGCCTGTCCCCCCCGCGGCCTCTGGCACAAGCTTAATTAGATATTTTAGACGTGGTTTTGTGGTAATTAATTGAAGGTGAAGGGGTTACCAGCCCCTCGCACCCGTCCAGAGCCCCCATTTGGCCGCTGTGGTGGTTACAAACGCCATGAGGGGAATGGCCAATCTAACGAGGTAGGGGGTTGTTTTTGCCGGACACACACACTCACTACACACTCACACTACACACACAATACACACACAAACTACACTCACACTACACACTCACACTACACAAACTATACCCACACTACACACACACTACACAAACTATACACATACTACACTACACACACACTACACAAACTATACACACACAAACTACACACTGCACACACTACACACAGACACTACACTCAAACACATTATATACACTACACACACACTACACACATAGAACACAATATACATAGAACACACGACACATACACAACACACGTATAACACCCTACACACGCACACTACACAAACACCCTACACACTACACACACACACTACACACACTACACACACACAATAAAACACCCTACCCACACTACACACACTACACAAACACCCTCTCGTGTCTAGACCGCCACGTGCTCAGCCCTGCCTCATTCTGAAGGAATTGGCCAAATAGCCAGAGGCAGGACTCTCGCCAAAAGGCGCTGCCTAGAGCAGTGAGGCGCCAGCAGTGGGCGTTAGGTGGAGGGGGTACGGGGGGCTAGAGGGGAGGGGGGGGCTAGAGGGGAGGGGGTACGGGGGGCTAGAGGGGAGGGGGGGGCTAGAGGGGAGGGGGTACGGGGGGCTAGAGGGGAGGGGGGGGCTAGAGGGGAGGGGGTACGGGGGGCTAGAGGGGAGGGGGGGGCTAGAGGGGAGGGAGTACGGGGGGCTAGAGGGGAGGGGGGGCTAGAGGGGAGGGGGTACGGGGGGCTAGAGGGGAGGGGGGGGGGCTAGAGGGGAGGGGGGGGGCTAGAAAAGAGGGGGGCTCGAGGAGAGGGGGGGGGGGCTAGAGGGAATGGGAGGTGGGCTAGAGGGGAGGGGGGGGAGCTAGAGGGGAGGGAGTACGGGGGGCTAGAGGGGAGGGGGGGCTAGAGGGGAGGGGGTACGGGGGGCTAGAGGGGGGGGGCTAGAGGGAAGGGGGGGGGCTAGAAGGGAGGGGGGCTCGAGGAGAGGGGGGGCTAGAGGGAATGGGGAGGGGCTAGAGGGAATGGGGGGTGGGCTAGAGGGGAGGGGGGTGGGCTAGAGGGAAGGGGGGGGCTAGAAGGGAGGGGGGCTCGAGGAGAGGGGGGGGCTAGAGGGAATGGGGAGGGGCTAGAGGGAATGGGGGGTGGGCTAGAGGGGAGGGGGGCTAGAGGGAATGGGGGGCTAGAGGGGAGGGGGGGCTAGAGGGGAGGGAGGCTAGAGGGGAGGGGGGCTAGAGGGGAGGGAGGCTAGAGGGAAGGGGGGATGGAGGGGAGGGGGGCTAGAGGGGAGGGAGGCTAGAGGGGAGGGGGGGCTAGAGGGAATGGGGGGGGCTAGAAAGGAGGGGGGCTAGAGGGAATGGGGGGGGGGCTAGAGGGGAGGGGGGGCTAGAGCGAAAGGCGGGTAGAGGGGAGGGGGGGCTAGAGGGGAGGGGGGGCTAGAGGGGAGGGACTTGGGGGTGTTGACGTGCTAATTGGCACCCAGTGTAGGTGCCGTGTGTTGTACGGAGGCGCACACTGGAGTTTGGAGGCAACACGTTTATTCCAACTCCCCAACAGGGTAACTCACTAAACGTACACTCTGGTTCTACTGCTAGGTGATAGCTACACGGTTAACTATGTGAGCAGCGGGTTAACTACACAACCGGGTCAGTCGGCCTACACGCTGCCTGACCCACGATGCCGAGCGAAGACCGAAGGGACGCAGCACCAAAGGTTGATTCCACAGGCGAGCGCCGATTGCCCTCGGGGCTTCCCCTTGATCCCCCCGAGCGCGGCCTCGCTCCGCCCTCGGCCACGCCCCCTTCTGGATCTTGCCAGAAGGCTCTCGGCTCCACGTCACGTGTCCCTCGAGCCCCCTTTCGGCCCCCTTGCTACCCTGTCGCGGTCACGTGCCCTCTCGGGTTCACACGCAGTAGCACGTCCTCACTTGCTCTCCTCCAGCCCTCACCAGAACCATGCCCCCCCCGCCCCTATGGCCAGCTTCAATGTCAACCCATGGTCTGGTGGCAGAGATGACCCCCGACGTGCGTTTCCACTCTCGTGACAGCAACTGACGCTAACGCCACAGTGACACCGTTAATGTCCCTACATAAGTAATGTGTTTGTTGGGACACAGGGGTAGGAAGGGAGTTAATGGAGACGGGGAGGGGGGGTGCGGGAATGAGTTAATTGAGACGCCGTTGTCACGGTGAGACGCGAGGTCGCGCATTCGGTTACGAAATGAGCGATGCCCGTGCCAACTTGGCGAGAGGAGCGAGACAACAGAGAGAGAGAGATAGCGCACAGCAGCACAAGACTCAGACAAAGATCCCCGTATAGCCTTGAGGAGACTTTTTGAGGCAAGTGCTTTTCGCGAGGAGCACCTATGAGGGGGTGGGTGGCCAGCACCACGCCCGGCCGCCTTCGTCTCCCCATGGCTGACGTTTAACACACACCGCACCAGTCACTCATTTAAGGCTGAGTGGAACTAGGGGAGGGTTCAGCACCGGTTCAGATATTCGTCACCGATGTTAGCCGCGAGAGCGACTCGATTTCAATCGCCTGTGAGTCAACCTGAGTTCGATTCCCGCTCTTTGAGGATCACTGGCAGGAGATCACGGTACAGACCCAGGTGCCTTGGGTTAACTGGCAGATGCACCACCTCTAATCCCCACTGTGCCAACTTGCTGAATTTTATCCAGCCAGCACTCGGCTCATTGGGTTGTGAACGTCGCTCTTCTGCCCTCCGCTGTCGTTGGAGGGCGACTGCCTCCAACTGCTCAGCAGCAGCGTCCTTCACGAGCCTCCTCCACAGAGGCCGATATTGACACCGCTGGTACCGGTATTCGGCAAGTCGACTCAGCTCTACGCCCTCCCGTGCCGCATCAGTCCATCTCTTCTCCAGTCCGTGCCGCGCCCGTTTAGTACCCCCCCCCCCCCCCCCCCCCCCGCTATATTCGGGCAAACAGAAGCTGCTTGGGCATGCGGGTTACAGGACCCAGCCAACATAGCCATGTCTGCCAGAGGCGCTCACTGATGCGGACAGTGTGTGGATCGTTCGGTTATCTGTGAGCTCCTCACACAATCCAGCCTGGTTAAACCCAGGATGAATCGTTGGCATCGCAGCCTGGAAAGTTTCATATTGTAACGGGGCGCACGTTTTGCGCGAACATGGAAGGGAGGGCGCGACAGTGGCCGAGACGAACCGAAGCTTTGTATAAAACTCACCCGCTCACCCGCTCTGCATCCACCCACTCACTCACCCACCGACTCACCCACTCACTCACCCACCGACTCATCCACTCAGGCACCCACTCACTCACCCACCGACTCACCCACTTACTTACCGACTCACCCACTCACCCACCGACTCACCAACTCACTCACCCACCGACTCACCCACTCACTTACCGACTCACCCACTCACTTACCGACTCACCCACTCACTCACCCACCGACTCACCCACTCACTCACTTACTGACTCACCCAGTCACTCACCCACCGACTCACCCACTCACCGGCATGACGCTGAGATCCACGCGTTGAGCCCACGCGGCGCGGATACGAAAATCGGGAGTCGAGGACTTCACGGGCAGGGAGAGGCACACGGGGAGAGAGACACGGGGAGAGAGACATGGGTCGATAGGCACAGGGAAAAAGACACAGAGACAGGGGAGAAACACACAGAGAGGCAGGAGACAGACAGAGGGAGAGAGACGGGAGACACGGGAGAGACGGGGGAGGGACACGGGGAGACAAAGGTGGATAAGGCGATAGGACAGACGCAGGTAAGACACTGGTAAACACAGATCGACAAAAACACAGGTAGACAATAATAAACAACATGGGATACAGGTCGACACACGCATATGCAGAGACACGAGTAGGCAGGCACACAGGTAGACATAGGAAGACAATGACAAATATGCCCCCTATAGCATTACCTGACTGGTAGGGCAAGTGCTGTTAGCGAGTAACACTTATGAAGGCCGGCACGGCACACGAAGGCTGGGGGGGGGGGGGGGGCAGCACCACGCCCGACCAGGTAGACACAAAGGTAAAAACAGAGACACACAGGTAGACAGGAAGACGCAGAGACACGGGCAGACACACACACACGGGGAGACACACACACACGGGTAGACACACACACGGGGACACACACACACAGGTAGACACACACACACGGGTAGACACACACACACGGGGAGACACACACAGGTAGACACATACACACGGGGAGACACACACAGGTAGACACACACACACGGGGAGACACACACACACGGGGAGACACACACAGGTAGACACACACAGACGGGGAGACACACACACGGGGAGACACACACACGGGTAGACACACACAAGCACACACACACACACGGGGGGAGACACACACACACGGGGAGACACACACACACGGGGAGACACACACACACACGTGTATACACACACACAGGTAAACACACACGGGGAGACACACACAGGCACAAGTATACACACACACACGGGTAGACACGAATAGCAGAGGCGCAGCTGCTCGCACTTAGTGCGCGCGAGTTTCGCCGGAGCTGACCTAGACGGGAGCCGAACCGCCGCGCCCCGCGACTCTCATTGTCTCGCCGGCTCCTCCCCCGCTTCAGTGGCCGCAATTATCGAGAGAACGGCGGCGCGCGCGGAGAGACGCAAGCCGCTGTGAGAAGTGTCCCCACGTCGCCCATTGCCACCGCCACAGGCACGAAGCCTCGGGGTGGACGGAAGCCGGACGGGAAAGGGGGACACGGGGGACGTGGGGGATGTGGGGACACGGGGGACACGGGGGACGTGGGGACACGGGGGACACGGGGGACGTGGGGGACGTGGGGACGTGGGGACACGGGGGACACGGGGGACGTGGGGGACGTGGGGACGTGGGGACACGGGGGACGTGGGGACGTGGGGACACGGGGGACGTGGGGGACGTGGGGACACGGGGGACGTGGGACACGGGGGACGTGGGGACACGGGGGATGTGGGGACACGGGGGACACGGGGGACACGGGGGACGTGGGGACACGGGGGACACGGGGGATGTGGGGACACGGGGGACGTGGGGACACGGGGGACGTGGGGACGTGGGGACGTGGGGACGTGGGGGACGTGGGGACACGGGGGACGTGGGGACACGGGGGACGTGGGGACACGGGGGACGTGGGGACGTGGGGGACGTGGGGACGTGGGGGACGTGGGGACACGGGGGACGTGGGGACACGGGAGACGTGAGGGACACGGGGACACGGAGGACATGGGGGACACGGGAAACGTGGGGGACACGGGGGACACGGGGGACGTGGGGACACGGGGGACACGGGGGACGTGGGGACACGGGGGACGTGGGGGACACGGGGGACACGGGGGACACGGGGGACACGGGGGACACGGGAGACGTGGGGGACACGGGGGACGTGGGACGTGGGGGACACGGGGGACACGGGGGACACGGGGGACGTGGGGACACGGGGGACGTGGGAGACACGGGGGACGTGGGGACACGGGGGACGTGGGGACACGGGGGACACGGGGGACACGGGGGACGTGGGGGACGTGGGGACACGGGGGACGTGGGGGACACGGGGGACGTGGGGGACACGGGGGACGTGGGGACACGGGGGACGTGGGGACACGGGGGACGTGGGGGACGTGGGGGACACGGGGGACGTGGGGACACGGGAAACGTGGGGGAGACGGGGGACGTGGGGGACACGGGAAACGTGGGGGACGTGGGGACACGGGGGACGTGGGGGACGTGGGGACACGGGAAACGTGGGGGACACGGGGGACGTGGGGACACGGGAAACGTGGGGGACACGGGAAACGTGGGGGACACGGGGGACACGGGGGACGTGGGGACACGGGAAACGTGGGGGACACGGGACACGGGGGACACGGGGGACACGGGGGACGTGGGAATACGGGGTTCACTGAGACTGATGGAAATGAGGACCTGGGGACACTGAGATAGCGGGAAACGGGAATTTAGGATCACTGGGACACGGGGACTACTGAGAGGGAAATGAGGACTTGGGGACACGGAGACACTCTGGGGACATGGGGGAACGTAGACACCGATATATGGGGAATACGGGAAACGAGGGTTGAGGGAAGTGGTGCCTTTGGGACAGGGGGACACCAAGTACCTGAGTTCCGAGCTGAAGCTAAGTCCCGCAGCCAGGAGACTCATCCTGCAGCTCCCCCGGCTCCTCCATCAGGTGCGAGGGGTAGCGGCAACCGCGGGGTCCCCCGGGCCCCCCTCGCCACCCCGGGGCCCCAGCGCGGCCTCCAATCGCGAACCCCGGAATCAGCGGGGGGGGGGGGGCAGAGGGAGGGAGCAGAGAGAGGGGGGAGCTTGAAGGAGGGAGATGGAGGGAGCAGAGAGAGGGAGGGTGCAGAGAGAGGGAGCAGATGGAGGGAGCAGAGGAGGGGGGGCAGAGAGAGGGAGCAAGGAAGGGGGGGCAGATAGAGAGAGAGGGAGCCAGAGGGAGGGAGCAGATGGAGGGAGCAGAGGAAGGGGGGGCAGAGAGAGAGAGGGAGCAGAGGGAGGGAGCAGAGAGAGAGAGAGGGAGCAGAGGGAGGGAGCAGAGAGCGGATGGGGAGTGGCAAGAGGAGGAATGTGAGAGGGGAGCGATTGAGAGGAGAGGTGAGAGAGGAGAGGAGACAGAGCAGAGGTGAGGAGAGGAAGCAGTGAGGAGAGGCGACAGGGGAGAGAGGTGAGATGAGAGGCGGTGACGAGACAGAGGAGAGGGGGGGGGAAGAGGTGACGAGGGTGGGGGGAGGTGAAAACGGGTCGAAGGGATGAAGGGTGCGAGAGCGGGGAGGAGACAGGAGGGAGAAGGGGGGAGGATGGAGAGAGAGCGGAGAAGGAAGGAGGCGGTAGTGAGGAGGAGCTGAGTGGAGCTCCTGCAGGTGGTAACAAGCTTGGGCCGTAGGCGGTGGGGATGCGGCAGAACAGCAATGGATTATATGAGTGAATCACTGTTTGTGTGTGTGAAGCTTTCGGGTCTTAATTATTCCCGAGTCAGCGTGGGTTCTCACTGGGTAGCCTCCCGGTTTCCCTCGCAGGGCGGGAGACTCGGGGAGGCTGTCATGGGTTCATACATCCATTGACGTCTTCCATCACCACCATCACCACCATCACTACCAACACCATCACAACCATCACTATCAACATCGCCAACACGACCACCATCACCATAATCATCTTCACTAATACCAACATCAACCACCACTGTCATCACCAGGTGCACCACCTACCAACGATATCACCACCATCACCACCTTCACCACTTTCACCACGATTCGTAACCACAACTAGTGACTACCACTTATCGGTAATAATATTATCCCACCTCTCCCAGGCACGTCCGCAACTTGGGTTGCTAAAACCGGTAACCGTTTTCCAGTCCCCCAATTCAGGAACCGGTAACCGTTTCCAGCGGAATTGTTGCAATGGACGCGCCAGCCAGCACGGCGGTCTAAGTGACCACGTGGTTCATCTGCAAAGTTAAGAGGTAAAGGCGCAGCCCTGAAATTTCTCGCTCACGCCACTGCTGGGGGGTAGGGGGGGAAGGGGGACTCCACTAATTTAGCGCTCTCGAGAGTACTTGGTCTACTCTTCCACGCTGGCCAGGACAGCAACGTCTTGGAAGAGGCCAGCCCACACTTTTTTACCCCAACACACGCGACCTTCAGTGGCGGCTGTGGTTGATGAAGACATTTCACTGCCCCGTGGCGGGGGTGTGGGGGGGCTTTCACTCGCACCGTCGTATCAAATGCCGCGCCGGGAGATAAGAATCCAACCGGCGTCATCTGTCTTGTAAGTCTCCGGTGCGCGAACCATCACAGCCCCTGTGGCAACTGCCTTCGTTTCACGGTTGAAAATTAAAACCCAATCCGTTCATTGCCAGACATTGATGTACGTGCGGCAATGCGGTAACCGGTTTTTTTTTTCAATGCGGTTACCCTCCCCGCGTACCCCCCACGTGGCGCTCGGGGAGACAACGCCGCCTCGTGGCAATCCGAGGGAGTAGTCCACTCAACAATTACTCGTCCAGTCTTCCTACTCAACCACTTCATCAGATAACCACTCATCCATCCAGCCCCCCAACTCAACCACTCAACCACCTAATAAACCACTCACCCACCCATTAATCCAGCCCCCCAAATCAACCACTCACCTACCCACTCAACCACCTAATCACTCACCTAACCAACCACGCATCCATCCAACCACACACTACTCAACCGCATCCAAACAACTCAACCTCCGAAGAAACCACTCAACCATAAATCCACGCATGACCTCAACTACACAATCATCCAACCAACCACCCAGCCACCGATTCACGGAATAACTTTGCAGGGGCGGCGGGGCTTTATAAATAACAATGACACGTGTGGTGCCTGCGAGTGTCTAACGATCGCCCCCCACATGTCCACCTCTCGACGAACAAGAGTACAATCACGGTGAGCCCGTCGGCCAATCACGTGCAACGGCAAAGTGTGGGTCCTCCCATCTCTTACTCCAGAGCATCTATCTCATGGAGGCATTTCCACCAGCTGTGATGTGAGCGAGAAATTGCAGGGCTGCCCCTACACTTTCTACGATCCACTTTTCGGAAAACATCTCCGATGCGATAATTGTTTTTTTACCCTTCCATCTGGCAACAAAACTGACACCTTTTTTTTTACAAGGAGTCATGTTTGCATAGACCACAATACCTGCAGTCATAATGCAAACAAAAAACTCTGATAATGTATGCACTGTCCTTGAAGTTGATTGGTCCACACCCGAGACAGCTTTCCTTAGAGCCTAGTCTCACATGGGTTGGACCAGATGACTCCGATGCGCTTTGGTATTTTCACGTCAAACACGTCATCGCGTCATCACGTGGACGTACACGACGACTGAGGTTGGTACACAGCAAGCGATGGGAGCAGGAACGCAGCAACAAAGGTCGATGATCGTAAATTCGATTCGCAAATGGTCTGGGGGGGGGGGGGGGAGATATTCCACACAATGAGTAATTGTATACAAATCTCGAGCGCAAACAATAATCCCAAGAATCGGACCGTCTCTCAGATGACGATGTGGAAGCTCCTGATGTCACCCTTGTGGAGGTCAACTGTGCCCTTCGCAGTGTGAGTGAGGACAACTCACCTGGATCAGATGGTATAACCGTGGACATCATTAAATTACTCATGGAATCACACAGAGCAGCAATCACCGTCCCCCTACCGGAAGACTAGCATCTGTTTGCAGGCCAGGTGACGAGAGTTGCTACTGGGGGTGCCCTTTTCAATGCGTCGAGGTGAGATGCGTTATAAAGCGCTCTTCATGCGCCCGCGAAGGGCGCAATATCACGCACAAATAGCTACATAAGTGGCAGTTGGGGCTGTTCACAAAATGTGAACAAAGATGTAAAACAACTAGGCCGTGGAATGGTGCCTCTATCATTCTTCTACTCTGACGCGGCGACGAAACGGACCTGAAGAGCGACGGACTCATTCGCTGTTCCGCTTTGATGGAAAATGACGGAGGCCGTAGGTCGCCAACAGGCCAACGGGGTTAGAAGCAAAGGCTGAGACGAGGTTTTCCTACCATCCACCACACGTCCTATGACCCATCGTGACCTGTTGGCAAAGACCCATGAACATCGATGACCGATGTGCCGAGCCCTTATCGACTGCGAAGAGGCATTTCACTCGGTGCGATTTTACGTATTTCAAACGAGCTCTCACAAACCGACGGCTAAATAAACTACGTAGAAAAACTTTATATATATATTTTTAAACCCGCTCACAAACATGCAGCAGCCACGCTCGGACAACAAAGCAAGCGGTCAGTCAGTAAAACAAAATCAACCACTTACCGAACCACAACTGCTCACTCGGCCAACCAACTCGCCTAACCACTCCACATGCATCGGAGACTATCTAGAACTTGATGCGAATGCCAGCAAAACGAAAATGATGCCTTCTGGAAAGCGGTTAATTGACTCCCCCCACCCACCCCACTTCCAAAATGATGGCGTTCGACTGTCAACTAGTTGCACTCGACGTGGAGAGGTTTAAACAACACCAAGGTGCCATCCTCGACCAACAAGCCATCGTTTGCTGCACATACCGATCACAATAAAGGTTTAAAAAAATGGCTTCCTGTACAAACTTTGCATTTCACCCCGACTACGATTTGATATTATAGGCACTATACTCCCCGTCACACGACTACTGCATCGTAATGCTATGGACAGACCTGGTGTTGCTAAGCGGTAAAACTGGTTCAATTGCACCACTCCGCGTTGACGTTGATGTCCACCCACAGCACCCGAAACTTTATCTCAACTCCAATCAGCTCCCCAATGATCCGCGCAGGGAATGGCATTGGGCCATCTTCACCCTCAAAAGCGCTGACAAAATAAGTCTTCCAAGGAGCTTCTGGATCATTTAATTTCCCCAGGAAAAGGCGCAACGGTTGCTAGAAGATGTTAACTACCTCGCTCTGGTATACAGGAGGTCGTGGGTGAGACCTGACCCTGACGCCTGCTGCTGTATATTTGGAGTTTGCGTGTCTCTTTCCTCGTGGTCGCGTGGATTTTTCTCCGGCTTCTCCGGCTTTGCCCTCCACATTTAAAAACACGCGTTTAGAGTATTACGCTGCTATCCACGTGATAAGTCACTTCGTTGAGCTATCATCTGTGCGGAGTCAGGTCGCTTCTACAAACAAGCTGTATAGCTCAGTGGGCATTACTTGCTAAAATAAAAAAAGAATCCTTATAAGTCCCCCTCCCAAACTCGGTTTAAAGGCCTTCCGTGTAGCGGGAAGGGATTTAAATCGTAATCTCTGGAATAACCGAGGGAAAATCTCTGGGATAAAATCCTTAACCATCCTCGTCCCACATCAATTCACTTTAGGCCCTCAGATTTACTTTCACGTGCAATTGGCTGCTCTGCAGATGTTAAGTTCCATGTTGTTTGTGACAATTTAACCTCGGTGCCGTTTGGCACCCAAATACTTTATACTGCGTTCTACCAGTCTTGGTGTCTTCTCTATGCTTAAAATTTGATTTAAAACTTTCGTGACTGCATTAAATAATATTCTTTGGTTCTTTCGGTAAAGTCACGTAGATAGAAAATAACAAAAATAATAAAGAATAAATACTAAATAAAAGCCAAAAACTCACACCGAGTTTTTGGTTTTTTATTTATATACATATTTTTTTAATCTATGCTTGTTGCACCGTGATGTCGATTCACGACCTTGCCGTTCGGCACCTGACATGGACTGCAACGCTTTTGGATCGTTTTGTTCATGTTATTTTGCTCTAACCACGTTTCTATGGAGGAACCAGTTACCCTGCCATCGAAAAATGGAAATATATTGCCCAATAGGTTTTACCCACATCAAAATAAACTAAACCACTCAATAAAGTTACCAAGCACCAACTTCCCAACCCACTCGGCAATAACTCGATATCTCAACCGATTAACCACAAACCACTCGGGCAGCATCCACAACATCCACTCGGTGAAACTTCCTTCATTGAGAGCACAGTGGGAACCCCCACCCCTAACCCCCCACCCCCCATGGAGACATCACCGCACCATCATGTTGGCTGGCTCCGGAGATTTGCGGAGCAACGCAGGCGCCACCTTCACTGCAGCCTCCCCACTTCTCTCCCGCGCAAGCCACAACCACGACCACCGTCCTGACACCGGCCACATCGATAGCTCCATCAAAGGACTCCAAGCACGCGTCTGTGCCACGCTGCGGAGACGGGAGCTCTCGGGGAGGGGGCGACCGTTGCTCAGGAGCGCCACGTGTGGGGCTCCACGACTCCGACCGATACACCAGAAGACGAGCGGAGTGGTCGACCTGGTGAGAGGGCGGGCGAGTTGCAGGCATCGTCCGAGAAGGAGCAAGGGCCCGTGCTGACGCCGAGTACAAAGTTTTATTTTGCAGAAACTGAGCGCGCAGCAGGGAAGTGGGTGGGTGGTTGGATGAGTAGGTGGGGGCACTCGGTGGCCCAGGGTTCAGTGCTGGGAAGGGGAAGGGTTGGGGAGAGTGAGGCAATGTGTGTGGGTGAGGCCCATGTTGGGTGGGTGGGGTCGGATATTTCCCCGGCACCTCCCGCCGCGATTCGCCGCGGCGCGAGCGCATTGTGCGGGGTGTGTGCAACATCGGGGGCCGAGCGCCGCCAACCCCGGGCGCCGCCCGCACGAAAACACGATCGGCACCGGGGCAGCAGCAGTTTGTGCAAATCAAGTCCCTCCCCCCCCCCCCCCCCCCTCCAGCGAGGCCGTGCGCCACGTGTCGGCGATCCCGCGGCTCCGCCGATCGTCGCCGGGACGAGGATCCACGGTGAAAAGTCCCCTTTTTCGCGGTAGTGGCCACCGCTCGCGCTCTCGCTCGCCGCTTGCCCACCGCTTTCGCGCTCGTGCTCGCTCTAGCGCGCGCGAGAGAGAGAGATCGCTACGAACGTGACCTCCAGGCCCAAACGCATTCTCGTCGTCGACACAAGAGCCTCGACGCGTGTGCGAGCGTGCGCACGGAACAAAATACATAAAAATATATATATTATATACCTTCTTCCCACCTCGCAAAACAAAAGAACAAACTCTCTCCTCTCGCTCGTCCGGTCGAGCTGGCGCGTTGAGGCCGCCCCCCGTGATATGTGTGCCATCGGCGCGGGGCAGAGGGACCAGGCCAAAAAATAACAACACTACACATGTACAGTATGGTACAGGGTACAGTATGGTACAGGTACAGTATGGTACAGTGTACAGTATGGTACAGGTTCTTGTGGAGCGGCGGTGGAGACGCCGGCAGTGGCGCGCCGAGCGTGCAGTCACAAAGATCGGCGACTGCTGCACAGGGGCCGTGCTGCCCTCGCCGCCAGGGCCGACTCCAGCAGCCGCCAGCAGCGTCCCCGCGCAGTTCCAGGGGATCGAGGATTTAAACGTCGCTCAAGGGGTGACGGGGCGGGTTAAGGTTGAACGCAGGAAAAACGTCTCAGTCGATGGCGGCAGCAGCACCAGCAGCAGCTGGGGACTTCATTTCCTTCACCAGGAGGCCCCCTCCTCCCCAGTAGCGCAGCCCCCCACCACCGTGCCGCGGCTCCCCCCCCCCCTTTGCCACGGCCGCTAACTGGAGCATTCGCGTGTGGTGGTGATGGTGGTGGTAGCCGGGCCAGTGTCGGAGCAGGGTGGGGGGGGTGGGGATGGCGACCCGGTGGGAGGGGGGGGGATCCCCTGTGCGGTGGCGATCGATCAGCCAACCGAGCGATTGAGCGAGCGAGCGAGCCGCTGTGCTCACGGTGGCTCCACCGAGAAGCCGCAGCGTGCGTCGCCGCTCCGCACGGCTCCAAGCGGCGCTCCACGCGGCTCCGGGGAGCGAGCGAGCGGCGGCGCCGCCGCTATACCACCGTCCCGCTGGGCGAGTTGGCCTGCGTCTGCGCCGCCGCCTGCCCCTGTGAACACGGGCGGCAGCCATCGTCAGCGCTCGTCGTTGGGCGTCAGTTTCCCCAGCAGCTGCTCCGCGCCGCCGCGGTTCTATAACGGAGAGAGTGCACGGGGAGGGAGCGGCCCCACACACACACACTGGCTGAGGCTCCTGCCGCCAGCAGCGGCGTGGTTCACGTAGCTCAGTCAACCCCCCACCGAACCACCCTCGCTCTCCCCACCGCCGTGCCTTGAAGCTACACGGCACGGCAACTTGCCTCCACGTTGCTGCCCTTAGCCCACATCTTGTTGCCCTTTCCTGCACGATGCTGTCCCGTTTCAGATGTCGTGTAGAATCTCACGTTAAACACCATGAATTGGCCACTTCTGATTTGCAACACAGTTGCACATCTACTCAGATTCGCCACCCCTACTGGTGGGAGTGGGAAGCAAATGACTTTCACAGCGGACCGAGTTTCAAAGCAATAATTGAGTCAACATTTATGTTGTCCAAAATCTTTATTAAAATGTTACTCTACTCCCAGCAACACACTGTCCTACATCGACCCTCTAAACTCACTCTACTCCCCTCCATGCACTCTCCTTCCTCTCCCCTCTCATCTCACTCTACTCTCCATGCATTTTCCTGCCTCTCCCGCTTCTCATAGCAATTCACTCTCATCCATGCACACTCCTACGTCTCCCCTCTCATCTCACTCTACTCCTCTCCATCCAGTCTCAGATCCAGCAGCCAAGGTCTCCTGTCAAATTCTTGAGCCAACCTCTGTTCGGTTGTAAGTCATCACATCTCATGAACATTAAGTAATCTCATCCACAAATTCTTCTCGCCGTATTCTGGAACTCGCTTCCCCAAACAATCCATGCTGTCCGCTCCCTGCCCCCCGTTCAACTGAGCCCAGGTCAGGACCTGCCCCCCAAACCTTCTCTGCCTGCGACTGAACAATCCTCCTCTAGAATCATACACGTAATGTACAAATCGCCGATAACACGTCACGCGTCATTTGTGCGCAGGGTCTCGGGGGACGAGGCGGTCGTGTTTAGACACCGTACAATGCCACGTTGTACTGTATCGTGAAGGGGCCGGCGCCAGCGCCGCGTGCGATCCCCGGCAAGAGCCGTACCGTCTTTCCGGGGCGTGCCCACGTGCAGATGAACCCCTCCTGGCAGGCGCTCACCACCGCCTCCTCCAGGAAGACCAGCACGGTGAGCCTCTCGTGCGCCACCTTCTTGCACACCAGCGGCTCCAGCAGCGGCACCTGCTCGCCCGGCAGCGCACCGCACAAGCCACCGGGGCGTGACATATCAGCCGAGCGGAAGCCAACGGGGTCCGTCGTGTAGCCGGCCGCAGCCTGGCAGAGGCCAGGCAAATGTTGCGTGGTTGCCAGAGCCGGGCGACATTGCTCGTGGTTTCGATTTAAAGCTTTCGTGACTGCAAGGATTCATCTTCTTGGTTCTTTCGGTAAAGTCACGTAGAAGCTGCTTGCGTTGTGGCCGAAACGTCGTGAGAATTATTTTATTATGTTTTGTTTTTATTATTGTATTACTTCCCTTCTACGTGACTTTACCGAAAGAACCAAGAAGATTGCCTGTGGTTGTTATTTATTGTTATTGTTTCACTTGTTTACCCAGGAAAGCCTCACCGAGTTTCAAGACTATTTTTCATGAGGGTGTTGCCAAGTTTTTACTCGAGCGGGCGACGTTACTGTTGTGTGTAATCCCAAATAAGAGTAATTTTGTTGGTAATTTTTTTCAGCATTGGGATGTTTTTTGGCCAATACCAGTTACATGTAAACGGGGGGAAATTGGAGAAGCCAGAAAAAACCCATGCAGGACAGGGGGAGAACATACAAAGTCCACACGTGACGGCACACCTAAGTCAGGAATCGAACCCAGACCCGTCTTGCTATGGGGCACAAGTGTTGCCACTTTACTGCCATCCTTCCGCTGCACCACCCCTAGCCGTGAAAACGACCATGATGTTGTCACGTAAACGAATATAATTTTTGTCTTTGGCCAAGCAATGATTAAAGCAAGTTTGTGTCGTAAGACACCACCACCTGACACAGCCAAACAAATTAAAATGCAACGTGTAAAAGCTTTTGACGCGGCAATTATTATTATTTCATCTGAACGGTGAGGAGACGGACGATTCTCACCACCTAATTGAGCAGCAACCAGACACTGCGCCAAGAATTTTATGGCAACTTCCCGGATTTGGCCCTCGGGACAGAATTCAGGAGGTTGGCATGAAATTCAGCGAGTCGGAACAACTGTGCCACTTGCCCCGGCTTATTTTGGTGCCGTGACCTCACAGGACGAGATTATGACCTCGATGTTCAAATGACCTCGATCGCGCCGCTCAGCTGATGCCGAGATCGCTCTCCATCACAGAGCGGTTGGCGGTCACCGTCGGTTTGTGGTTGTCGGCGAAGTCATAAATTTAAAATGCCCGAGAGGCTCGACGCTCCGCACACAGGCACGCGCACGCAGTATGTACATAATGGGTTTGCTGTAAAAGGTAGAGGTGCAGCCTTGCACCTACTCGCTCACACCACTTCTGACAGAAGGGCCTCCCCGCTTGAGGGAGCCCTAGAGGGACCTTCTAGAGCAGGGGTCGGCAACCAAAATAACAAGAAGAGCCATTTCTTTCCAATTCGGTACAAAATTCAGTATTTCAAGAGCCGCAATGCATCTGAGTACATACTGTACATACGTACATATCGTCAAGAAGCAGCCCGTAAAGAGCCGCATGCGGCTCCGGAGCCGTAGGTTGCCGACACCTGTTCTAGAGGGTATTTGGGCCCACTGGTGGATTCGGGGTACTTTTACAAAAAAACTTTTGGCTCGAGTGTCACACACATCATTACTTGGGCAGTAAGGAAACAAATAAAACCAAGGTGTTCCTAAACAACCAGCAAGGCGGAGCCTGCGCCTCGCCTAGTTTGCCTTTCAGGGTCAACAGTTCCCCGCCTCGGCCGAAGCAGCGAGCGGCGGTGCCGAGGGTTGTGTGTGGTTTTACAGTGCGGCACTGCGCGTGCCAGTGCCGCGTCACTCTTCAATAAATCGATACGGATGCCACGGGACTTTGGCCACAAGCTTGCGAAGGTGGGGAGGGTGGGGAGAGGGGGGGCGGACTCGTCAATGATCGAGGAGATAAGGGTTAAATGTGGCAAGAGCGGAGTGAACAAACGTTGGGCTTGGGCGGGTAATTCCCTTTCACGCCACACACCCTGCGCATTATTGCGGTGGCCTGATGTGCTATGAAGGAGGGTCATTGCCCGAAACGTTGCCTGTTGTTGTTTTTTACTTTAAGGTAGTCTGTTATGATAAAAAAAGCACCTGGGTTCGCTTCCTGACTTGAGTGGTTTTCTGTGTCGAGTTTACATGTTCTCTCCCGCGTGCGTGGTGAGGTACGGTTAAATAATCTCTGTGGATTGGCACAACATAAGGCTTCAATCCAACAGTTGCATGACAAAAAGCTGCCGATTATTATGATTACACGATGCGTAATACACTGCACCATGTTGGACTGTGTATGCTGTACCGTGATACAATGCATGACACCTGGCGCTACACCGCTAAGTACTGTGTATGCTATAACAAGTGTTTGACCATTTAATGTAACAGGCCTTCTGCTGTTCTCTAAGCCGTGTGTAGCACTGTGGTTGTCTTTTTTCCCCAAATATCATCCCAATTTTTCTGTCCCCCCAATTTTGCAGAACCAAATGTAACGTGATAGTTTTGTTGTGCAGTCATTGTTGACGGGGATGAGACCATCAACTCACTACACCTCACACCTAACGACCCGGTTTCATCACGGGCGGCCGAAACCCAGACTCCGAACCCAGGATTCTTAGCGGATGCCGGCTCAGCGTCTCAGAGGTCCGAGCCGGCCACACCGTGCACCCTGCCGCCAGTGGGAGGCCCTCACCTCGTCCATGCGTGGGCAGGGCGGGGTGCCGAGGAGGCGCGACGAGTCCGGGCGCTGGCTCTTGGAGAGCACGTGCAGGCGCTCGGCGCTCTTGCTTGAGATGTGCCCCATGCTGTGGTTGCGCTTGTGCTCCTTGTCCAGGCTGCGCTTGTCATTGCCGCTGCGGTCGTGCAGCGTTAGTGTCGCAAACTTGCTGATCCCGGCCGCGATGGCGCCGTCCACCAACCCCCCGGCGCCCCCTCCTCCCCCTCCCCCACCGCCGCCACCACCGCCGCCGCCGCCGCCGCCCTTGCTGTTGGCGTTGGCCACGGCCGAGTGCGGGAGGGAGTTTGATCGCGGCAGGGGGCACGAGCCGCCGCCGCCGACCACGGTGGCACCGGCGGCGGAGGGCGACGTGGCGCCCGAGTTGGCGGCCGTCACGATGTTGGTCTGCGTGCGCGCACGCGACAGCGGTTGGTGCGGGAAGAGGACGTCCTCCGTGAGGTCCCACAGGCACAGCTGCGTGTCCTGCCCCACCGAGCCGAAGCGGTACGTCACCGACACGGGCCGCCCGTCCGCCCTCTGGGACAGCCGCGATAGCGTGCTGTTGGCGCGGTCCCGCCCGGCGGCGCACGAGCGGCTCTGCGACGCGGCGAAGGGCGGCGTCTGCTCGGGGAACTCCTCGTCGCTGCCGCTGAGCTCCGTGGGGTCGGCGCCGTCCTCCAGGCTCGTCGTGTAGGGGTCGAAGGCCACGACGCTAACCCACGACTTATGGCCGTGGCCGCGCGCGATCACGCGGCCGTCCAGGAAGGACCACACGCTCACCAGGTCGTCCTCGCCGCCCGTCACCAGGTACTTGCCGTCGGGGCTCCAGCAGACGCACAGCAACCCGCCGAAGTAGGAGCGCATGGCGCCCTGCAGCTCCATGGCCTCGAAGGAGAAGACGCGCAGGAAGCCGTCCTGCCCCACGCACGCCAGGTGCTTGCCGTCGGGCGAGAAGGCGAACTCGTTGAGGGCACCATCGCCGACGGCCCAGCGGTGCAGCGGGTTGCGGCTCGACTTGCTCTTGCAGGCGTAGACGCAGTATCCGTCGCCCTGCTTGATGGCGGAGTAGGAGGGCGCGCTCGTGCCGCAGCCCAGCTCCTCGTTGTACAGGTAGAGGCTGCCGCTCGCGTGCGACACCACGAACAGGTTCTCGCTGCCGGGCACCCACTTGAGGCACGTCACGCGCGTCTTGTCGATCAGCCTCTGTGGGACAGAGCGGAGAGAGGGCAAGGCGGGCGACATTCGCCGCTCGCACCGGCACAGCTCTTGCATGGCCGTGTTGTCAGAGTGGAATTTAATCGTGCTCGATGCTCAAGACCGCTGGCATCGCGAAACAGGGGAGGGTGCGTTACTGTATGTAAGTACATCTATGTAACACCTGTGGGCTCCGGTTTGTTTGTGTGAATGTGTGTCTATACATGCACATGCTTGTCCAATTGATAATGCATGTTACTCTGAGTATGCTGTGTAAGTACCTGCGTGTGTTGCTGTACGCTTTCACTTACTGGTGACCTGCGTTTGTCCCTGGGTGTTCGTGTGTGTCCCTTCGGGTGACCCTGTGTATTTGTGTTCATTTGTGTGTGGTCCTGTCTGGGCACGCTATTTATGTGATCGAATTTATTTATGTGTGCCTGTGTGTGAACGTTTTGTACGTGTTCTTGTCGGGTGAATTTGTCGCGTAGTCCTATATGCTCCTGTGTGTGTATTTATGTATTCCATTGTGTGTTCCTGCATTCCATTGTGTGTTCCTATGTGTAAGCGTGCTTGCTCGATAAATACAAATTCTGATTTCTGTTTGTGTATTCCTGTACTTTGAATGTTTAAAAAAATCAATTGTTGAAATCAACTTTTGTCACCGGAAATGTATTTCATTGAATACTGATTGTTTGCACACGGTTATCGAATTCTTCTAAAACTCGTCTGTTTTTGCTCCGATTTATATTTCCATCATTGTCATTGCTTTTCCACGACCACCTTCATAATTTTGGTGACCCAAAATGAGACCACTCTGGTCTATGGAGTTCTCACCGTGTTCTAAACAAAACAACACTCGAAACTTGACTTTGCATTTCCTGTGTGCGTGCACACGCATATGCGTACTGCTGCGCGTGTTCCTGTGCCCCCGCGTGCACACACCTCCTCGTTGAACAGCTTGCTCGTCTCCTTCTTGACGGGGTCGATGAGCTGCACCTGCCCGGCAGAGAAGCCCACGAGCAGTGCCACGCTCTCGGGCCGCGCGGTCAGCGTGTTCACGTCGTGGCACGTGGGCTGGGTGCCCTTGTAGATCCGCTTGTCGATCGGCTTGTTCAGGTCCACGGCCTGCAGCAGTCGCAACGATAGCGGGAGACACAGGCGGGGCAGTCAAGCGAGTGCGGCGACGTGCGTGCGCGCGCAGCCTGGCACGAGCGCTGTGCTGACGTCGCCGTCACTTCGTGGCGAATGTTGGGCTGCTGTTTTGTGCCCGACAGGTGAATATCTTAAGAGTGCTGGGCTTCGCTTATGTCAACTCGGCCTTAAGTGAGTACCAGGAATTATTCTTTGGTTTTTTCGGTAAAGTCACGTATAAAGATAAAAGAATAAATTAAATAATAGCATACGACGTTTCGATTGCAACACAAGCAATCATCATCAGGTATAATGAAATAGCGACATAGAATCTAACCAGAAAACTATAGACAGACATGTAAGCAGACAGATATCACCAAGATACATAGAGAGAGCAACCCAGGAACAGAGAGGGGTGATCGTCTCTGTGGGGTGGCCTTAAATAGACAGAGGGGGGGTGGAGGCAGAGAGAGGGAGGGGGTAGGGAAAAAAATTGACATGTCAATGAGTACGACAGGAGGGCAAGTAAGGTAAGCAGGCTTAGAGGGAGACAGAATACACTAAATTAAATAACCTAGCAAAGTATCGAAATGTTATGTAAAACGACACAGAAAGTCGGTCAACACACAATTAACGCATAGCCTGGTCGATTACGTATTTCAAAGATTGCTAAGTTAGAATTTAAGTGTGAAAATTCCAAAGAAAGACAAAACATAAAAACAAGAGGAATGGAGACACACATACAGAGCAGAACCTAAGAACGATAAAAAACGAGTGTAGACAGAAAAAATTACACTAAATATACAGGCAGAGAGAGAGAACAAAAACCCAGAGAGAGAGAAAAAGGTAAACTTGGAACTTCCCCGTAGAAGTGGTTCAATCTTAATTTTTGGAGCTTTCGTGACTGCAGGAATTATTCTTTGGTTTTTTCGGTAAAGTCACGTATACAGATAAAAGAATAAATTAAATAATCTTCTTTTATCTTTATACGTGACTTTAGACTACAAGGAGAAGGGGATTGTTGCTGCCAGTCAATTTACATGGGACACACCGAGGTGTGTCCCATGTACTCCTGCCAGAGAGCCTTCAACACTTCACGCGGCCTCAAAGTGTTATTGTGTGATAGTGTACGAATTTGAAAGCGAGAGTGTATGTTTGTGACTGTGTTGGTGGGTGCCAGTTTAATTGTATGTGTGTGTGTTAGTAGTATAGCGCGCTGCAATACGCACACGGTGACCCAAGTTTGGTTCCTGCCCACGGCCAACACCAGTGACAATTATATGAACCAGTGTGGGGCCTCACATAGGCCGATGCAGGCTCAAATTAGTACCCTGTGTAAACATCGCCACTAACAAGACAAAGGCGGCTGGCCAAGGTACTGGCCACCCACCCCCTCGTATGCTGTGCCGGCCTTCATAGGCGATCGCTAACAGCACTTGCCCCAACAGTCTGATAATGCTATACGGGGGATCTTTGTATTTTGTGAGTGCGTGTGTTTGTGACAGCGTAAATGTGCATGTGATTGTGAGTAGGAAAGTTCGTGCATGAGTGCACGTTTGAGTGCAAGTGGATGATAGTGCGTGCCAGTGGGTATTTGCATGTCAGTGTACATGCAGCATGTATCCGAGCGTTAATGCGCTTGTGTCAGTGAATGCGAGTGCATGAGCATGCGAGTGAGTCTGCAGGCTTGAGTAGGCATGTGCTTGTGGCGGTACCACGAACTATACAATTACCCATGGAAGTCCCACCAAGTCGCAAGACTTTTTGACGACAATGTTTGCATTCAGATCTTTGATCTAAGAATGTTTGACTTGTGGTAGGAAACCAGAGTGTTCAGAAAAACAACTCGCACATATCGCAGAATAATGAAAAGGTAACACAAAGGGACTTACTTCCTGTACATCGTTTGGTTTCGCCATTTCACCATTATGCCCGATTCATTACCCCTTGTCTGAAAAGCGCTGGACCGCAAGAATGTGACAACTGTGCCCGCCAACTCAACCACACACAGAGAACTATATTCCTCACCCTAACAAGGGAAACCTAACCCTAGCACGAACTCTCGCAAACTCGAGATTTCAAAGAACGAGCCCTTACTCGCAGAAACCAAGCCCCTCCACTCAGTAGCTACCCCTGACCGTAACTTTGCCCAACGTCTCCTCCACATTTCCCACAGAGCTCCTTTTAGAATGTTTCAATTGATCATGCGATGGCACTGCTGGGTCCGAGGAAGCAACCGAGGCTCAGCCAATGTAAGCAAGGAATGGGGGTAGCAAAGCAGAGCTTCGTGGACCTCACCGCGCAGGCCAAGGTCAGGGGTTACAGGTCGGCACCGCACGCCAATCCGTTTCACACCGGCGAATGGGAAAGGAGGCAAATTACAAAAGGGTGCAAATTAACGCGCACGAGCCGATCAAAGGCAGAACCTGGACATAAGCGAGACGCGATGCCACCTTGGCAGACCTGTAACATGAACGGATGAGCTTCACAAGGTATTTTTGCTACTTTGCCCATGGGGAGATTTAACGCCAGCTACCACGTGAGATTCACATGGCAGCTGTCACGTGAATTTGCCAGATGATTTCCCCCCCCCACCACCACCCCTGCCGTCCACGTGACCCTGCTTGGGGAAGCGTGGGAATTCACTCCGGGTTACGCCACGCGATGAAATGCAGCCTCTTTTACAAGTTTCACGTAGCAGGGGGCTTCCCCACCGTCCGGCGGTCATGTAATCGCCCGTGTTAATTAGTGAAAGGCCCTCGATACGGCACTCCTAGCGAAGCCTTTGCCAGCGGAGGTAGGGCAAGGGTCTTGTCACTGGAGGCACGGCCCTCGTAAATTGGGTCACGCTCCAGACAATTAGGGCACGGCGCTTGTATAATTGTGGCATGGCCCTGGTAATGAAGAGACAATCCAGTGAACGGGGCTCTGAGGGCACTGCCCCTGTACCCGGGGGGGGGGGCACGGCCCCTGTACCCGGGGGGGGGGGCACAGCCCCTGTACCCGGGGGAGGCACTGCCCCTGTACCCGGGGGGGGGGGGGGGGGGCACGGCCCGACTCCCACGAGGGCGGCCCCACCCCGTCCGCTGCCCCTACCGGGTTCTCACGGAACAGCAGCAGCACTCGCCGGGAAGCAGGGCACGGTGGAAGGGGGTAGGGGGCAAGGCGAAGCAGAGGGCAGAGCAGGGCTCAGGAGGGCAAGGCTGAGGGGCAAGGGCATGGCTGACGAAGACATGAGAGCACATGACGGGAGCGATATGGATGTGTGTGGGGGGGGGGGGTGCATAGCTGGCAGGGAAGGCCAAACGCCGGAACGGGCAAGGCGGGAGGTGTGTGGTGAAGGGGGCAAGGCCGGCAGTGGTGGCGAGGCGGAGCGGGCGAGGAGGGTACGTCCGCCGCGGGTTGTGGGCGAGCTGGCGGGGGGGGGGGGAGCAGTGTACGAGTCGGCAGCGAGCCCGCACCTTGCGCACGCCCTTGTAGATGTAGAAGTAGAGCTCGCGGCCCACGTTGAAGCAGATGCGGTCGCCGCTGCCGGACTGGTCGTTCACGTTGACGAACGACACCTTGACGGGGTTGGAGCCCTGCGCGCTGAAGGGCACGCGGTTGGGGCGGCTGTACTCGGAGAGGGAGAGCAGGCGGTAGGTGCCCTCGCGCGTCGAGAACTGAGTCTTTATGTCGCTCATCTCCTTCCCTCCTCCTCCCTCTGTCGCCATGTCGTCCGCGCCGGAAGTTCGTCGCACGCGTCCTTCCGGCGCGGTGACGTCACCGCGAAAGGGCCCGGCGCGGTGACGTCACCGCGTCACGGATCGGCGTGGGGACGTCAGCGCGTTGCTGTTCGGCGTGGTGACGTCACCTCGCCACAGCCCCGTGCGGCGACATCCCCGCGTTCAGGCTCAGCGCGGTGACGCCACCGCGTTACGGTTTAGCGAGGTGACGTCACCTCGTTACGGTTCGACGTGGTGACGTCACCTTGGGCGTTATGGTTTAACGTGGTGACGTCATCTCGTTACGGCTTGGCGCGGTGACGTCACCTCGTTACGGCTTGGCGCGGTGACGTCACCTCGTTACGGCTTGGCGCGGTGACGTCACCTCGTTACGGCTTGGCGCAGTGACGTCACTCGTTAGGGCTTCACGCGGTGACGTCACCTCGTTGCAGCTTGGCGCAGTGACGTCACCCAGGGCCCGGTTAAGATTGTGTAGGCCCCTGGGCTCCAGGTACTGTGAGGCCCCCAGGAATATTTTGAAAAGGAAAACAAACTTAAAGAAAAAGTATATTTTACAAGGCTAACAACAAATACAATTCAGCATTCACAAATAACTTTTCACTTCAATCTCTGGATGCCCTCCAGCTGGCGGAGGCCCCTGGGCTGCAGCCAATAAAGCCTCGTGCCTTAATCCGGCCCTGACGTCACCGCGTTATTGATCGGCGCCGTGACGTCACCGCGTTTCTGTTAAGCACCGACGTCCCCCGCGTTTTGGAATGGCGTGGTGACGTCACCTAGTTACGGCTTGGCAAGATGAACGTTAGCGCGGAACTGTGAGGCGCAGTTACGTCATCGCGGCCAGGCTTGGTGACGTCACTGGGGCAGTGTTTGGCGCGATGACGTCATGTCACCGGCATGCACGAGGTGGGGGGGGAGGGGTTCGAGTTGGCGTCTCCCCACGTTTATAAACACGCGTCTCGATTATTGACATTATTTTAGTGATATCAATGTCCACATTGATAAGCCACTTCACTGAGCTATCATTTGTGGCCAGGTGGCTTCTAAAAAAGAAGCTTTTCGTTAAATGGGCTTTACCTGGTCAGATAAACAATTGTTTAGTTTTATTTGTATGTATTTTCAAGTTATTTGTTTACCTTTCCAATACTTTGTATTGTTGTTGTAACATTCTGACCTGCCTCTACTGAACATCTGTGATAAAGAGCTTCCTATCTCATCGGATTCCTCCAGGATAAAATAAACATTCTGATTTTGAAATGGTTAATGGAGCGGTTGAGTCGGTGGTTGAGTGGTGTATGGGTGGTTAATTCAGTGGTTGAGTGGATAGTTGTGGTAGAGTGGATTGTTGTGGTTGAGTGGATTGCTGTGGTTGAGTGGATAGTTGTGGTTGAGTGGATTGTTGTGGTTGAGTGGTGTATGGGGTGGTTAATTCAGTGGTTGATTGGATAGTTGTGGTAGAGTGGATTGTTGTGGTTGAGTGGATTGTTGTGGTTGAGTGGATAGTTGTGGTTGAGTGGATTGTTGTGGTTGAGTGGTGTATGGGGTGGTTAATTCAGTGGTTGAGTGGATAGTTGTGCTAGAGTGGATTGTTGTGGTTGAGTGGATTGTTGTGGTTGAGTGGATAGTTGTGGTTGAGTGGATTGTTGTGGTTGAGTGGATTGTTGTGGTTGAGTGGTGTATGGGGTGGTTAATTCAGTGGTTGAGTGGATAGTTGTGGTTGAGTGAGTTAATTGAGTGGGTGGTTGTGTTTGAGTGAGTTAATTGAGTGGTGGTTGTGGTTGAGTGTTAATTGAGTGGGTGGTTGTGGTTGAGTGTTAATTGAGTGGTGGTTGTGTTTGAGTTAATTGAGTGGTGGTTGAGTGAGTTAATTGAGTGGGTGGTTGTTCGAGTGCAGCAGCGAGGTGCACGAGGTCCATCGCAGGACAGCGAGAGATGGCGACGACTTTGCAAGGCCATAATCCAGCAGTGGATTGACCATTGCTCGATGCTGCTGCTGATGTTGATGGCGCACGGGTTCACTGCCGCGCTCATGGCACCGAGCAGAGGGCGAGCGGGGGGGGTTGGTGGAGGTGACCACGTGGGGGGTGGTGGAGGTGGACACGTGGGGGTGGTGGTGGAGGTGGCCACGGGGGGTGGTGGAGGTGGACACGTGGGGGGTGGTGGTGGAGGTGGCCACGGGGGGTGGTGGTGGAGGTGGCCACGGGGGGTGGTGGAGGTGGCCACGGGGGGGGTGGTGGTGGAGGTGGCCACGTGGGGGCGCTCTCGGCCCTGGGCCGCCTCCCCTCTCCCTTAGCCCCCCCCCCCCCGCCTTGCCCCCCCCCCCCCCCCAGCCTTGGCCTGCTCCTCAGAACCGACTGCTGTCTGGTCCCTGGCGCTCTCTCGACCCTCACCGAACCCTCGAACCCTCTCCTCCTCGCCAGCAGCCGTAGGCCACGCTCGAGCCGAGCGCAGCAGCCGCTCGCCCTGAGATCGAACACCGAGATCGAACCCCGAGGCTCTCTCCTCGGAGGTCACCCGCGCCGAGCGCGGCCATGCGGCGGCTGCTGCTGCTGCGGTTGCGTCCGGGAGGCCGCGGCCTCCCCGCCCTGGGCCCCCTACGGCTCCCCACCCTGGGCCCCGTGGGCCTCCCCACCCTGGGCCTACCCGCGACCCGGACCGCGGCGAGCGGCGAGCATCGTGAGGCGAGGAGCGCGGCGCAGGTGAGTGGCGACAGTGATCAGTGAGTGATCAGAGTGAGTGATCACAGTGGCTACAGTGATCAGAGTAAGTGATCAGTGAGTGATCAGAGTGAGTGATCACAGTGGCTACAGTGATCAGAGTAAGTGATCAGTGAGTGATCAGAGTGACTGATCACAGTGGCTACAGTGATCAATGAGTGAGTGATCAGTGAGTGATCAGAGTGAGTGATCACAGTGGCTACAGTGATCAGAGTGAGTGATCAGAGTGAGTGATCACAGTGGCTACAGTGATCAATGAGTGAGTGATCAATGAGTGATCAGAGTGAGTGATCACAGTGGCTACAGTGATCAGAGTGAGTGATCAGTGAGTGATCAGAGTGAGTGATCACAGTGGCTACAGTGATCAGAGTGAGTGATCAGTGAGTGATCAGAGTGAGTGATCAATGAGTGAGTGATCAGTGAGTGATCAGAGTGAGTGATCAGAGTGAGTGATCACAGTGGCTACAGTGATCAGAGTGAGTGATCAGTGAGTGATCAGAGTGAGTGATCACAGTGGCTACAGTGATCAGAGTGAGTGATCAGTGAGTGATCAGAGTGAGTGATCACAGTGGCTACAGTGATCAGTGAGTGAGTGATCAGTGAGTGATCAGAGTGAGTGATCACAGTGGCTACAGTGATCAATGAGTGAGTGATCAGTGAGTGATCAGAGTGAGTGATCAGTGAGTGATCAGAGTGAGTGATCACAGTGGCTATAGTGATCAGTGAGTGAGTGATCAGTGAGTGATCAGAGTGAGTGATCACAGTGGCTACAGTGATCAATGAGTGAGTGATCAGTGAGTGATCAGAGTGAGTGACCAGACGACTGGGAATGAGTTTGTGACTCACTCCTAGTGACTATTCACTGGGCGACTACTAAATGACTGCATGACTGCACTCCCTTGCAGTGCCTTGGTTATCTCGGAGTGAATCTTCACTCAAAGCTTTCGTGGCGGCAGGAATTCATATTCTTTTGGGTCTTTCGATGACGCCCGCTTGTGTTGCGATCGAAACGTCGCAGCTTTTTGTTGTTTTCTTTCAACCTATCTACGTGACTTTACCGAAAGACCCGAAGAATGTAACTCGGAGTGACACGACTGCCCTGGCATGAACGCACAAACATGGTGACTAGACGAACTCACGAGTGACGAGACCGATTGGCTGCACTGTGGTGGTAACTAGACGAACTCGGAGTGAACTCCACTCCTCTGGCATGTCTACAAAATGATGTTGTGCCCGACATGAGCGACTCTGCCCCCCCCCCCCCCGGCATCACCTCACCGGCCCTCTCTCATACCCAGCCGCCCGCGGAGCCCGAGCGGGACTGGGTAGGTCCCCCGGACCGGGACTCGAACCTGCGTCCCGTGCGCGTGGGGAGACGACCCGCCGAGTCGCCGCTGGAGCTGCAGCTGCGCGAGCTGCGTGGAGACACCGAGGCGTGGAGCCACCACTTCTGGAGCGAGCAGAACCTGACCTTCAGCCGGGTAAAGGCTGGCGTGGGAGAGGATTCTGTGACCCCATCCCCCCATCCCCCCCTCCTTAGGGGGTCTAACATAGCTGCGTTTGAACATATAGCAGGGGACAAGGTCACAAGTGTGTGTCAGAAGTGGTGAGATCAATTAACACTGGTAGGAACCTCCTGGTTACACCAGCCCACAGGGGATTATTGTGTCTGTCCGTCCGTCGTGCAGGGAGGGGCTGGGTGGGGAGAGAGGGGAGGGGCTGGGTGGGAAGGGAGGGGCTGGGTGGGAAGGGAGGGGCTGGGTGGGGAGGGGCTGGGTGGGAAGGGGAGGGTGGGGCTGGGTGGGGAGGGGCTGGGTGGGGAGGGGCTGGGTGGGGAGGGGCTGGTCACCCCGTGGTGCCCTTATAAAACTCAACGTTTAACCTACTCACGCCGGCTTGTGCCCACCCTCACAGTCGGGCATATTTGCGGAATACACTACGCCGCCGTTGACCCTGGCCATTGACCGAGCAACCCAACGTTCCTACCAGCTCCCTCCGCAGGAATGTGTTTTGTTACGTTTTGAGCCAGCTGGCCAGGACTGGGCAAAGACTAAACTAAACTTTTTTTTTTTGTATTTTACTTGTTAAGGCCCACTCAGCTATGTAGCTCTTTTTTAAAGGCAACCTGGCCGCACATGATAGTTCAACGAAGTGGCTTATGTCGAAATTTATAGCGCGTTGATTCTAAATGTGGAGGGAAAAACCAGGGGACCCAGAGAAAAATCCATGCGACAACAAGAAAAACACTCAAACTCCAAATATACATGTATCAGTGTTGGGATCGAACCCAGGACCTCCTCCATACCAGGCGAGGTAGTTAACATCTCGCCACTGTGGCGCTCCTAAGACGTTGTCCACTTTCCACCCAGGCAAACCGAGAGCACAGATTTAGGCGTTTCTTAACTCATCACTTAAACAACAAATAGTGTATCTTCTTTATAAATAAAAACCTTAATCTGTATGTCTCAAAAAGCTAGTGAATACTTCCCGACAAGGTAGAAAGCTCACTTTTAGTACACAGGTAGCTTTTAGGAATCAAATAACAGGAACAATCAGAAAATCTGAGATTGTTAATTTATGGCCCTCAAATCTCGATTGTAAGTGCCTCATAAACATGTTTGTGCATGGTATCATTCAGAAACCATTCAAAATATAAGATTGCGGGTTTTTTCATTTAATAAGAGGGTTAACTGGCAAATAAAAATAAAGCGAGAACCATTGGGGTTCTATATTTGATTGTTTTTGAGATATTTCGGATTCAAGCGGTTTTGAACAAAAAACATCCGCATTTCTTTAATGTTCAAATCTAAATAATTTGAAAACGGTAGAAGATAGGGCCTTCCCCTCATAGAGGATTACGTTAATACATTTTTGTTCGTTCTGATAAATAAAGAATGGAATCTTTAAATTGAGCGGTTTCCGATGGGTACGTCTTTAAATGTAAGAAGTTTAATCAAATCAACAATTTTGTTCGTGTAAATATTACAAAATTTGAAATAGTTGTTCATGACTGATCGTATGAAAAAAAATCATATCATGTTCATTATGATATTTTTAGAAAAATTTTACCTGGAGAAGGCAGTCTTTTATTATCTAGTATTTAAAAACGCACGAAATTAAAAAGCAAGTCGTGCAACGGTTAGTGCTCTGCACTCCGAATCTGCGACCCAAGTCGATTTCCGCTCACGGCCAACACCAGTGACGATTATCTGCATCTGTCCTGGGCCTCTCGTAGGTCTACTCAACCTCAAACGAGTACCTGTTGCGATGTGTAAACACCGCCACTGGGGAGACAAAAGCGGCCGGGCGTGGTGCTGGCCACCCGCCCCCTCGTGTGCCGTGCCGGTCTTCGTAGGCGCTGCACCCCAACAACACTTGCCCCTACAGTCTGTTCAGGCTATAGGGGGGGCATCTTTGTGTTTGATGCGGTGTGAGGTCAGCTGTGAGAGCTGTGAGATGTGAGCAGCATTGCTCCACCTGTGCCCACACCACCCATGCCCACGCCTGTGCCCACACCACCTTGTGCCCACGCAGGAGAAGCAGAAGTTCATCGTGAAGCGTCTGCGCGATAAAGGGCTGGGGACTCACGATGAGGATGGTGAGTCTCGGCCCCACCCCCTCCCAGGGATTCACCTCCCACTGGAACATTTTGCAGGTCGCCGTGTAGACTGGAGTTGGCACATGACCGGTAGCCGCAGCCTGGAGCGAAAGGTGTACTGGATGTGGTGTCCGCCTGATGCCGAAATATATTATGGGTTGTGAACGTGGATAGACCCATGGTGGATTGTCAATGTACATGGGAGGTGTGCTGGCCGGGTCAATGTGTGTGTGTAGATGAAGGTGTGCTGGCTGGATTGATGTGTGTGTTTAGATGGGAGGTGTGTGTGTGTAGATGGGAGGTGTGTGTGTGTGTGTAGATGGGAGGTCTGCTGGCTGGGTCGGTGTGTGTGCGTGTAGATGGGAGCTGTGCTGGCTGCATTGGTGTGTGTGTAGATGGGAGATGTGTGTGCATGTGTAGATGGGAGCTGTGCTGGCTGGATTGGTGTGTGTGTGTGTAGATGGGAGGTGTGTGTGCGTGTGTAGATGGGAGTTGTGCTGGCTGGATTGGTGTGTGTGTGTGTAGATGGGAGGTGTGTGTGTGCATGTGTAGATGGGACGTGTGCTGGCAGGGTTGAGCTGTTCTGGCAGGCTCGTGAAGTTTAAACAAGCTCGAAATGTGCCATGGATAGGAAAAGGTGGAGATGAGTATTTGAGCAGGAAATCACTTTGATTTAATTTGACTTGTCTGCGCATAGATCGTGAATACGAGCGATGGTGAGATTCGTACGATTCCTGCGTGTAGGTTCCAAGAGGAGTCTGAGCGTGGAGGAGATGGCAGAATTCTACAAAGGCTTTCTGGATGACAACTACACCAAGCACCTCAACTATAACAAGTGCGTGTCCTCGTGTGCGAGTGCCACGCGCAGTTGTACACGCGTGTTGACATGTCAACATTGCGTCACCATGGTGAGACAGCCCATGGTGATGGATGTTGATGGCAAGTTGAGGGAGTGTTTGGTGGTTATGCAGGGAGCCTCATGCGTGTGTGTGTGTGCCCCTGCAGGGAGTGTTGTGTGTGTGTGCATTTCTGCAGGGAGTGTTGTGTGTGTGTGCCCCTACAGGGAGTGTTGTGTGTGTGTGTGCTCCTGCAGAGAGTGTTGTGTGTGTGTGTGCATTCCTGCAGGGAGTGTTGTGTGTGTGTGTGCTCCTGCAGGGAGTGTTGTATGTGTGTGCCCCTGCAGGGAGTGTTGTGTGTGTGTGTGTGCTCCTGCAGGGAGTGTTGTGTGTGTGTGCCCCTGCAGGGAGTGTTGTGTGTGTGTGCATTCCTGCAGGGAGTGTTGTGTGTGTGTGTGTGCTTCTGTAGGGAGTGTTGTGTGTGTTTGTGTGCTCCTGCAGGAAGTGTTGTGCGAGCTCCTGAAGGGAGCATTGTGTGTATGTCCATGTGCAGGTAGTGTTGCGTTTTGTGTGTGTGTATATGCTCCTGTTGGTTGTTGTGTCCATGTTCAGGAAGTGTTGTGCGCTTCTGCAGGGAGTCTTGTGTTGTGGTGTGCGTGCGTGTTCTCCCGCAGGGAGTGGTACCGCAGGAACTTCACCATGACGTGGATGATGGGTCGCGTGGCCGTGCTCCGAGCCTGGAGGTTTGTGCTGAGTGGCGGTCGCCCCCGGTGACCTCGCGACTCCCCGCGCGGTGGCTGTAGTCACTGCTGGCTACTGGGAGGAAGTAGCCGCCGCCCGTGTCTCCCGGCTGACGTGGTCGCCGCGCGGAGGCCGCGTCCGGAGCCGGCGATCTGTGCGCATCGTGCCTGTGGCTCGGCTCTGGGCACAGCAACCACAACAACCATTTTACAATAATTTGAAAGTATGTTGCGTGTACGCGGCAAGTTGGTAAAATGTCGTGAGAGCGGCCTTTGTCATCGCGCTCTGGCTGCATACGCGCTTGTTTCTGTATACTCCCGATGGCCTCCGTGTGAAAATTGCGAGAGTTAAAAAAATTCGAATTTGTCGGCGTTTTCAGATGCAATTTTCGTGAATTGCGTCATGCGAAAAAAATGAGATGTTTTTGTAAACATTTTTTTTCTAAAATCGCATTTCAAGACACTTTACAAGAATGAACAAAAACTACCTCGGGGTAGCAGGCGGAGGGGGTGGAGGGGGAGGGGCGGTCAAGGCAGGGAAATCATCTGAGAGAGAGGAGAGATGGCAACACTGCGGCACAGCAAGCAGGGCCCAGCACCAACAACAACAAAAACATTGACAACAAGCGACGGCGGGGGCAGCCAGGACAGCTCCAACGAGTCTCAGGCTCATCCTGGAGGAAACTGGGGGTCCAGGCGATGCCCGCGGACGCCGCACACTGCCGGAAGTAAACGCAAGTTTGGATGTGCGGGATGGTGACCTCACGGTGTGTCCCGCGTGTTGCGAACGAGTTGCGAGCCGGAGTTTCCTTTGCATAAAATAAAGACCTATTCGTCTCGAGCCGTTGCCGTGGGTGTTGCCACTGCACGTGACACCGCATATCACCCACCCCCGTCTCGTCAGCCACTGCCACCAATCATTGCCCTTGCACCTGATCGTCACCCCCTTTCGTCACCGCACATTGTCACCCTTTGTCACCGCCTGTCGTTGCCCTCTGTCAACGCGCCCCTCTCACCGTGAACTCTGGCGGCGCAAGCTGTCCGGGTTTAAACCGATGGGAGGGGGGAGGTGGAGGGGGCTCTGGTGCAGGAGGAAGGTGACCACCACCTTGCGTCCGTGCGCCTCTACCGATCACGGCCAGGGTCACCCGGGAGTCAGGAGTTCGCTTGGGCAGCCAAATGGCGCAGCTTTAAAGCGCTCACGCGCTAACGCACGCACGGGTGAGATGTGTAGTGCGTGTATTAGGATCCTCGGAGGGCAATTTTGACCTTGCGACCAAAATAGACGTCTGCAATTGAATCTGGCGGGGAACGATCAGAGTCGGAGCTGCGGCAGCAGGGGCTCGGGTGTCGCTCACGGGGGTCGGGGTGAGGGTGGAGTGGGGGGGGTCGGACGTGGCAGGTAGCCTCGTACGCCTGGCCGGCGTCTGCAGCTGCAGGAAGAGTCGAACGGAGGAGTAAAAGTCCGGCCAAATCCGGAACCTCGGCTCACGCGAAATTTGCACGGAGCCGGACAGCGGTTGGGCAATAAAATATGCACGGTGAGGCTGCGTCATAATTGTGATATGTTTTTGATGGTTTGTTTTTACTGGGCGAAAGGTGACATCTCATCTCAATCATTCAAAGGGCACCCCCCCCCCCCTCCCGCAGTGGCAGCCGTCCCTGTGCGACACAGGTTGACTCAGCAGCTCGCCTGCCAAGTGGGAAATCATCAGCCAGTCGCGGGCGATGAGGACTTATTTGGGATCCCATTCGAGTCGTTTGCAGGTAAAACATGTGTTTTTGTATTTGCACGCTAACGTCAAGCACGCAATGTTCTTGTCGAAATTAAGCGGACGGCGCACAGTCTAAGAGTTATTTTAAAATCCTTTATATTAAGTTCACTTGCTTGCGCGCTTACGACCGTGCAAATCTTTCGGTCGTTTTTTAACCCACTTCCCGTGATCCAATCGAGCTGACATTTTGCACACAGACTCGTTGTGCGTGACACTTTATTTTCGTGAAAAATGTTTTCCTAAATTTTCCACTTTTTAGGAATTATTTTTTTCATATTTAATTTAAAATACCAATGTGATAAAAATGAAACTCTTACTCAAAAAAACAGAAATGAATAATAAAATAAAACCGATGCCACGCATATAAAGGATTTATAGTGAAAAACTTTGTTTTTACGGGTAAATTTTTTTTCATTATTAAAACACCCGCACAGGTATTTGCCACGGCGGCCTGCCAGGTTTGAATGTCGAGCCTCTCGCAACAGGCGCGCTGTGACGCGCCAGTGCTGGCCCACGTCCCACCGCCCCCTACGCAACACGAGTTGACGTGAATGTGTTTAACCAGAACAGAGCTCGGGGCGACGGGGATGTTACAAGCCTCGCTGGCAAGAACGACCTGGATCACGGACATGGCAAAAAAAAAATCTAAATTAATTCAATAGACACGACAACCAGTGCGTGCCATGGGTCAAATTCGCACGCAGATGGACAGCAGCGATGCATATAGAGACATTCCTGCTCGTCAACAGAACTTATAAACAAGTTCAATAAAAAATTTTGTAATTAAATAAAACATTTTTTTATTTTCAAACCGCTACGTGCATATGGTAATCCAGCCAGGATGTATTGTCTACGGTACATGCACGTGGAGGTTCAACTCGTCCTGTAGACAATACTCCATGGGGTGTGGGGATTTTCTCTATATCACAGATTTCTCTCAAATCTCTGGCGCCTCACCAGGGTCCCGAGTGAGCTCACGAGGAGGGGGGGCGCGCGGTGGGGGGGGGGCGCGGGGTTGGGGGGGCGCGGGGTTGGGGGGGGGCGCGTGGTGGGGGGGGGGCGCGGGGTTGGGGGGGGCACGGGGTTGGGGGGGGCACGGGGTTGGGGGGGGGGCGTGGTTGGGGGGGGCGCGTGGTTGGGGGGGCGCGGGGTTGAGGGGGCGTGTGTGGTTGGGGGGGCGCGCGGTGGGGGGGGGGGGCGCGGGGTTGGGGGGGGGCGGGGTTGGGGGGGGGGGCGCGGGGTCGGGAGGGTGCAAACGCTCGTTTTTTGGGAAGAAATCGACGCACAGCGCCAAGTCGCTCGTCTGTGCGGACGCCCGCGATACGGCAGGAAGGACGCGGCATGGAGCCTCTCGAGAGGCAGGCAGGTTGTAGCGGCTGCCCTGTGGCAGACATGTGGCTGTGGCTGCCCTGTGGCAGTGGCTGCCCAGTGTGAAGATCCACAGGAGCGGTGAAGAGAGCGCTTTGCGCAGGGGACGTGGGGCAATGACGGTCCAGGCGGTGACTGCTGTGGTGTTGGAGCAGATATCGGGAACCCGGCGTCTCTTGTGTCAGGATGTAATCTCCACCTGCTTGTCACCCACAAATTAAGGGTGACCACCCTCCCAAGGAAACTCCACCTGGTCCCCTTTCACTCTCTGCTTTCAGCAAGGCCCTCCTACAAAACGTTTATTTTCCACCCCGTGCTTTCGGACCCCCTTCATTGTTTCTATTCTCTTCTTTCCTTTAGTGGCTGGGTGAGTGAGTGGGTGGGTAAATTAGTGAGTGGGTGAGTGAGTGGGTGAGCGAATGAGTGAGTGGGTGAATTAGTGAGTGGATGAGTGAGTGGGTGAGCGAGTGGGTGAGTGAGTAGGTGGGTGAGTGAGTGGGTGAGCGAATGAGTGAGTGGGTGAATTAGTGAGTGGGTGAGAGGGTGGGTGAGTGATTGGGTGGGTGGGTCAGGATTAGAGTTTTTAATTGAATTTGCTACTGAAATATTGCACTCCCAGAAGGCCATGGGGCAGATGGTGGGTCGTGTAACACAAAATACTTGTATATTTTTTTCCATTCAGCAACAGACACACGAAGGAAACATTGTCTGCCTTTTTATACGGATTTTTTTTTATTGTATAAGAGTTTGAGAAAGCGCGACGATGGGAGGGAATTCCAAAGGTGAAGCGGTGCGAGGGAAGAATCAGGATGACGAGGTTGAGGTGGATCACATTTTGCCGAGGGTGTCACTAATTGGTTAGAGGATGGCGTTCCAAAAAGCAGAGGTGTCCTTGCAGTCGTCAAAACTCTAGGGTCGTGCTTCCCCGCCTCGAGATGCAGTAGTTTTTTTTTTTGTTACCAGCGCTTAAAATTATTCTGCGTGTACCCTCAGAATGATGATGATGATGATGGTGATCTGAGCCCGATACTGGATGATGGAATGCAGCGAACTGGAAATAGTCGAGGTCAAATAGGTGGTGCCGGGTGTTTCATTTCAGTCGGAACGATCCCGAATTTCAGCCAACGGTAGAAAGGGGCGGAAGACACGCATCCAGCGCTCATTTGCAGGGAGGGTTCGCGGGTTCGAGTCCCCTGGCCGCCCTCGTTAATAAGGCGGCCGCATTAGCCGAGAAGATGCGACGCGCAGTCTGCTTCACGGCGGACCTTGGAGGATGCCGGGGGGCGTTATTCGAAATAAGAGTCGGTCCAGCGACACGCAGTGTCCACATTTGCAACATTTTGCAGTGACTCTCAAACTATGCGATAAGGAGAAGCATAGCAATCAATGCTCAGTGCTGCGACAACTTCCTCAAGAAGAGTCTTGAGACCCAGTGAGGCTCTCCTGGGTAAACAACTAGCAATGGCACCTGCAGGCTGTGGATATCCCCATGTGCCCGTGTCTCCCCACATCTCCCCGCCTTTCCCTTCCTCTCCTTGTCCCTCTATGCATCTCACCGTCGCTGCACATCCTCATATCCCCGTGTCTCCCCCATGTCTCATCTCCGATCCGATAAGCACGGTTGGATACGTACGTTACAAAAGAAGTTATACAAACACGTGTCCCACCGTGTTTCCGTGGCTTCTCCGCCTGTGTTTCTTTATCCGGCACCGTGTAATTTTAACCCTCCCTGCCACTGCCCGACTATCGCTGGGGGTCACGCTGACCAACCCTGCACCAACACACAACAACAAAAAAACCCCGTGCAGATTTTCCCCGCACGACCACTTTTGAACGAAAACAATAAATCGCTGACTTCTCAAAGATCCTCGTGTTTTGGCCACAGCCGCACGGAGGCGAGTCTCCTGGCTCTAGTCCAGCTCTAAGTTTAACTGAAATGTCCTGACGCGGGGAAATACGAGAGAGCCACCCGGGGCTCGGCCCGCACAAGTCCGGCCACCACCACCACCGCCGCCGCCGCCGCCTTCTCCCTGCGCACGAATTGGGCCACCGGACCGTTCATGGCCACGGTCGGGGCCATGGGGAGGCCTCACGAACGGGACCGCAGAGGGCCTCCGCAGCTTCTTTTGGCGGATGAGGGGTGGAGGATAAGGAGGGAGGATGAGTAGACGCTGGTGGACTCCCCGCGTCTCCACGCCACCAGCTTTGAGCTTGATTTTAAAAAATGGCCGCTGTCTCCTCGCCCACGAACTCAAACTCACCTGCAGCAGCAACCCTCACGCTCATCCCACAGAACGACATCAGCAGCTGTTCCCTCACCTCGCCCGCTTCCTCACCTCCTCTCTGATCTCACTCTCTCCCTGAGCTCACATCGACCCTGACCTTACTTCCTCCCTGACCTCACCTTCTCCGTGACCTATCCTCCTTTGTGACCTCACCTCCCTCTATTGCTTGATCTCACCTCCTCGCTGACCTCACCTCATTGACCTTACCCTCTCACCTCTACCCTGACGTCACCTCCTCATTGACCCACCTCCTCGCTGACCTCACCTCCTCGCTGACCTTACCTGAACTCACCAGCACATTGACCTTACGTCCTTCCTAACCTCTTCCCTCGACCACACCGCCTACACAATCTCCCCTCTTGAACAACAACAGCAACAACAACATCATCATCGTCGCTCATTCTCTTATCACC